CTGAAAACGATTTAGTCAAAAATAAGTGGATCAATGTAAGTATCTGGTAAAGGAAAAAAAAACCACTTCATATAATGAATATTCTTCAGACACTATTCCTTGATAATTTTGGTCCATGATTATGACTGCTTTGCATCCTTTATTTATCTTTTAAGATTTTTGCCCATTCTAAAATTTAACTTTTCAATTTTTCCCTATGTATTTATTATTATACTTTAAATTCATTTCCAGCCCATTATTCCTATTCTTTGGTGTTTGTTGAAGTGGAAATTTAGGATAATAAGATTTAGTTGAAACATCCATAATATCCAATAAAACTTAGTCTGATAAACATACAGGTTCAAACAGTATCTGTGATGTAATCCTGTATTTATAAGATAAAAATAATGTATAGATAAGTATTTGGATAACTATACATCAAGGTCTGAGTAATATTTGCCGGTGTGGAATTATTTTGCTTACTTATATTCTGTTAATGAATTCAACAAAATTTTATAAAGCTCTTTCTAAATGTCAGCCATATGCTCTATGATGGGGCTAAAGCAATAAAGAAGAAAGACAAGAAAATTTTGCTTTCAAGAAGGTACAAACTAGTGGGGAGAGAGAGTAGACAAAGAATTAAGTAAAGTATATCTTGGTTTAACAGTAAAAAGTACTACAGAAAAAAATGAAGCAGGGAAGGGGGATAGAGTGTTGGGGAGGGGTCCCAATTTTAAATAAGGTCATCAGGGGAGGTCTCTCTTGTCCAAGTAGCTTTTGAGTAAAGAGCTAAAGGAGATGAGGGTGCAAACCAGGTGAATATCTGATGAAAACACATGATAGCAGGAGGAACAGTAAGCTCAAAAGGTGTTCCGGGGGGGATCAGGACTTGTGTGTGTGTGTGTGTGTGTGTGTGTGTGTGTGTGTGTGTGTGTGTGTGGCAGAGGGTCAGTGGAAGGGTGGTATAAGATAAAGAGAATAGTTATGAATGAATCCAGTTTTTTTGGCCTCGACAACTGGGATTGAACTTCATTAATCAGATGGGGAGGTTTGCAGGGAGATAGAGTTTGGGAGGCAAGATCTAGAGCTTGGGCATTTTAAGTTTGATATGCTCATTAGTCTAATAAGAATGCATTGTTTTTTAAATTTGGAAAAAAAACAATAAATGACATTTTAAAAGAAATTCTCTTGTGGGACTAGGTTGTGGGAAATTCTGTTGTTGGCCTAAATTCCTCAGTTGACTAAATTTCTGTGGCCAAATTGTTTTCAGTCAAACCATCTGGACCTGGTGTATGCAGGGGCGATTCTGGGTAACCACAAAGCACACTTGTTCTTAAGACCACCCTGCTTGAAAGAAAGTTGAAAGCAGTCTCAGTGGTCCTTTGCTGTCTTAACTTTCAATGCCCTTGACTCAACTGACTTCCTAGATGCTTTTTTTTTTTAACACCCTAATCCCCAAAACCCTGCCTGACTTCTTGGACCTTTGACTCTTCCATCAGCTTCTCTGATTTTAGATATTTACCTGAAGTTTCGAGGCTCTGGAGCACCTGGACCCTTAGTTTCTTTCTTTCCCCTGATGGTCCTTGCCTGCTCCCGTCCATCCTGTAATCACCATGCTTTCATAAATCAATTTACACTGCATTTCTTGAGCACCTATTTTGTGCAAAGCTCTGTACTAAGCATTTTTGGGATGGTGAAAGAGTTGAGATGTGGCACTGATAGTCCAGGAAGTTCCAATGTTGTGGTAAATATAAATATATATAATGAGGTGGTGATGGCAAGCATTTAAGAGTGTAGAGGGGAATCTAGGGCTCTGATTTCGGTAGTAATGATCTACTTGGTCCCACCAGCTCTGGTCCAGCATTTTATAGACTTTTCTCAGAGACTTTTATGTACTTTCCATTATTTATCTTTTGTTCTTCCCCCCACCCCCAATTATAAAGGAACAGATATTCATTGTAGAAAACATGAGAAAAAGAGAAAAATATTAAGGAAAAATACTACTCATAATCTTATTATCCAGGGATAGAATGTTACTGATTAATGTTTGACTATATTTCTTGTCATTCTTTTTTTTTTTTTTTAAGATTTTATTTATTTATTTGACAGAGAGACACAGCGAGAGAGGGAACACAAGCAGGGGAAGCGGGAGAGGGAGAAGCAGGCTTCCCATGGAGCAGGGAGCCTGATGCGGGGCTTGATCCCAGGACCCTGGGATCATGACCTGAGCTGAAGGCAGACGCCTAAAGACTGAGCCACCCTGGTGCCCCTATTTCTTGTCATTCTTTAAAAAAATTTTATTGTTGCCATTTTCCTCATCATTAATATCCTTTGGAAGAATATTTTTTAAATAGCTGAATGGGATTGATGTTTCACTATTTATTTGCTGGCCCCCTAATGTTGAGTCTTTTCATGTTTTTATAGCTAAGTTCCCTCTTGCATGGGCTACATAGGCCTAGTGTTGAGGATGTCCTAGGATACTTGGGGGGAAAGTAGAGTATCATGAAATGGGAGTGTGCCCACATGGAGTGCACTTGGCTGTGAGGGGTGTAGCTAGTTGGGGCATGAATGGCAACACTGAATTAATCCATGCCCTTCTCCAATCTCGCACATGCATGAGCATAGTAGACATTACAGACAAAATGTCAAGGGGGGACTTTGTTCTCTATTTGAAAAGCTGCTTGTCACTGGTAGACCAAAGAACTTTGAAATCATATTATTTTAATGTAGTGCATCTTTTTATGATAAATATCAGTAGTTATATTTGTGAAGGGAGCCAAAAAATAAAAATGACACAGGACCCTTCTTTTAAAAAATGAAGAATGATCAAAGCAAGATGGAAGAAAGTGGCATAGTGGCTCCTTTAATAGTACAGAGGAGTCTCCCTATTTCAGTGAGATTCCTCCAGGAGAGTGAGTTTAGGAGCAGAGAAAAGAAATAGAAAAAAAATTGAAAAAACAATTTTATATTGTTTCAGAATTTAAAAACCAATAATGCTTTTCAAGGCTTGTATGTGAAACTCGCCCTTCTCTTTTGGCTCTTCCAGCCACAGATGAGTGTTTCCTTGCTAATAAGAACATTCTTGAGGTGTTTTCCTTTTCTTCACGTGATGTTGGTTGAGATCCCATGCTTGCCATTAATTATAAATTAATTTCTGGCGTTGTAGTAAATTCTAGGAAAACCAGTATAACCACAAGTGTGCATTTAAATTCTTCTGTGTTTTTTTTTCTCCTATTTGTTTTTTTGCTTGGGGTTTTTAATCTTTTTTTCCTATGGGAAAGACAAGAAAGTAAAAAAAAAATTTCCACTAGTGGTTGGGTGATTTATAGAGTACATTTCTAACCTCCAGTATTCTTTTATTAGTCTTCTCATTGCTGTGAATGTGTTCTCCCATTTGCTTAAGGCTACTTGATCACCTTTTTTTTGATAGGAATGGTAAAGAAATTTATCATAAGGGTCTAGGTTGATGGAAAGGAATTGAATTTCTTTTGACAAGAAATACCAAAGATGATAATCAATACTTCTTTGAATATATCCAAACCAAGAAGCCAAGCAGAGAACTGGTAACAGAGGTAGAATGGTCATGTATAGAGTATGTTGGGCTGACATGAAATTGTCAGAGAGACTCAATTCTTTTCAAAGTGTACTTCGGCTGTTTCTGAGAAGGACTTTTTCAGGAATTTTGGAGAAGTAGTTGTGAATGCTATAGAACAGCATCTCCCAAAGTACGTTCTGTAGAATGTTCAAGAGTGGAGTGGACATCTGTTATTTGTGCCTGCCCTGAAGCCATTTCTTTCTGTTGATAATAACACCCTGATTTGCCTTTGAGGAACTCCTCCTCCTCACTGTTGGTACAATTGGTTTGGGTGTGGTTGAGTCCAGGGGTGGACAGATGGCCCAGGACTGTTCAGTCAGCATAGTCTATCACATCTCTCTTGGGAATTGGTGCAGAGATGACCATCTGACTAAAGACGGTTTCCTGAGATTCATCCTGGGCCCTTTTTAGAACCACTGGGAAGGAAAAGCCCCTTTTTCATTGGGGTTCCTGAAAAGAGAGTATGTAAGCTCAGTGCTAATGGTCATCTTTCTGCCTTGTGGAGAGAACCTGCTGGAATGAGGCCAACACAAAGGAATGTAGAGCCCAGAAATGGAGACAGAGCAAGTCACCTTGACATTGTCTAAGAGCTTGAGTCCTCTAGGCCTAAAGCCAGCCTATCCTTGGATTTAAGTAAATTAATTTTTTCTCCTTTAGCGAGTTTGTACTGGGCTTCTCTCACTTGCCACCAGGAGTTTTGGCTAATTGAAAAATTGTGCTGTGAAGACTGATCTGTCATCGAACATGTGTGGGAAATCATGGACATAATTAGTTTGAGTTCTCCCAGAGATAGACCTGCAATAAGATTTGTGTGCAAGGAGTTTATTTGGGGAGTGGGGAAGTAAGACAGTGAAGAAGAGAAGGCATCTAATAGTTGGTACTTTATCAAGCCAGCCACCACCATGGGTGACTAGAGCTTAATCTCATGGCGAAGTTATGGGAGGTAGTATAGAGCACATGCCTGAGAGTTATCCCAACCAAGCAGCAGAGGGCTGGGATAATTACACCCAGTTATTGGTTGAGGGGCTGCTCTTGGGGTGTGAGTTAATTTCCTGGTACTTCAGGCCTGCTCTACAAGCAGGCAGAACAATCTTTTGAGGCTTGGGGTGGGGCTGGAGGATGGAGAGGAGGAGGGAAAGGAGGGAGGGAGGGAGTGAGAGGCCTTAGACAAAGAGGTGCAAATAGGGACAGTGGAAGCCAGGAGGAGTCAATGGATATGATATGAGCTAAACAAAGCAAAAGTTTCTTTATTTCAGGACTTCTAAGTGCCTTTAATATACTAGTATATATATTGAATATCCAAAATGAGGTTATGGTATACTGTGTTTTCCAAATTTATTTTATCACAGAATTTTTTCTTTGTGGATTGTCTTTGGAACTTGCAGTCCACAGCACATGTGAAAGAGCTTGCTTCTTCCTTTCTTAGCTCTCTGCCTTGTGAAGACATGATGAAAAGATAGCCATCTACAAGCCAAGAAGCAGCCTCTCACAGATTCCAGATCTGCTGGCATCTTGATCTGGGACATCTCAGCTTCCAGAACTGTGAGAAATAATTCTCTCCTGTTTATAAGCCACCCAGTCTATGGTATTTTTGTTATAGCAACGTGAACTAAGGTAGCCAAGGAGTGTAATTGTTATGCTTTTTTAATTTACCAAATGACTGCTGTAGATGATTCTACAGTCTCATCATCATTTGAATGGTGAGGCAACAAAAGCCTAGAGAGTTTCAGTCATCTTGCTTAAGGCTGATAACTAGTTTGTACAGTCAGAACTGGTGTCTCAACTCAGGGTTTTTTTCTCTCTGTGGATCAAGCATTCAAGGCTATGTTGGAAACATATTCTGTCCTGTAATTGCCCAACTGTGCTTCTCCAACACTTATCTTTGTAAGTATTTGCTTTAGCAGGTACCAGAATCTGGAGTTGTTTTTCAGGTCAGTTTTGTAAATAAAGGTCTTGGGCACTGTGTACTATTTCCCTAGGGCTGACTGGCAGGCAGCCTTCATTGTCTCTAGACTTGGGAATTGTTCTGGCTTTGTGAAGAAGTCTGTGTTTCCTCCTACTTGCGTTTCTAGATCATAGTCATAAATGCACCCAAGCTTATGTATACAAATGCGTCAGACCAGTTAGGCCAAGAACTGCACTCATGGGCCAGCTTTTGAATAATTCCTTGTGCAATTGAGCTTGATTGGAAACAGTAGTTTTAATGTGTAGCCATATCTGTTATGTGGTTACAGGCATTCTCAAGGTCTTGGCAAATATGCATGCAGCAGGCATATACCTACACAATGGCTTAGCATGCTGACTTCTTATTGTGCAGGATGTTTTGCCTAAGTAAGTGGGGTTTTGTGTCCAGGGACATGGCCTTGGTTCTCAGACTGAGGGAGATAATGTGGAGGTATTTCTGCAGAGATAAAGCACAGTGAGTTATTATTTGTTCTTATCCTCTGTTCCTAGCATGATAAATGGTGGTGAACAGTATTTTCTGCTGGCTGTTCCTGACCATCACCCTTTTAATGCTGTCAACTACTTTATATGTTATTATATATTGATGCTCACAACTTCAATGTGTAAATCACTGGAGGTCTGTATAGTAAAGGCAGTAGTAAAAGATCTTCCAATAATCAGTAATATCATTGCCAAGCATAGCCTCTCCTATCCATTTCTGCTCATCCTTCAAGACAAAGAAAAAGATATGTACAGTTCATTAGGTAACTGAGTTGTGAAAATAGTTTCATATTTCTTTAAACAGTTATAGAGATTTAAAGGCTTGTTTTCATTAAAATTGCTGGGTGGGAATATCTACAATGTATCTTTGTTATCATTGATTTATATACTCTGTGTATAAATACCAAATATTTAACCAGCCATATCTATCTTTTCATTGCTGGGATTTCAAAATTTAGTAGTAGGTTTTAAATGATATTATCTGTGTGAATGTGGGGAAACTGTCTTAAACATGCCTCTTTATTGTGTAGCTCTGGATGTGTAATATTTGACATGGTTCAAATTATGTACACTGGAAAAAACGTCACAGAATGAAGTCTCAGTACAAAGTGATACGCTCATAAATGGTTAGTTTTATCATATAATATTAGTATTTTAGTGGAATGGTTATTATCATTAGAAATATTTTTCAAGTTTTAGTAATTATTCATCTGGACCCAGAATGGTGCTCATCTTTTGGTGGATACAAAAGTAAAAGGGAGACGTGGTCTCTAGTTTCTAGAAGTCAAATGGCTAGATATGTATTTATAATACGTACAGTTACGTAGAAGATAGTCAATCCCAGATATCATCAGGCACTACATTGTGTGATATAGACTATGAGAGAAATACACATTCACAAGGAGGAAGAATCATTGTGAGATGAGGGGGTTGGGAAGGGCTTCCTGGAGGAGGGGGGCTTTGTTCAGTATTTCATAACTTTGGGCCTTGAAATTTTTTTGCTGAGTTTGCTCTTGACTCAATGCTTGTGGGTTCTTTGGTCCAATTTATATGTTCTCATAGGTGGACATAATAGAGCTGATTCTCCTACAAACATTCTCTTCCCCCCACCAGAGGAAAGACTCTTTCAACACCACTGTTCAGACAGCATTTTGTATCATTTATCTTTTCTTTTCATGTTACTTTGGGTTGACTCTATTAAAGAGTATGAAGATATGCTCCAAAGTTAGTTTTTTGGTTCAGTCCACTCTCTTAAAATGAAATGGCAGGTGAATTTTTTAAAAAGATTTATTTATTTATTTGAGAGAGAGAGAGTGTGCAGGGGCAGAGGGGTAGAGGGAGAGGGAGAGAGAATCTCAAGAGACTCCCTGCTAAGCATTGAGCCTGATGTGGGGCTTGATTTTATGACCCTGAGATCATAACCTTAGCTGAAATCAAGAGTCTGACACTTAACAGACTGTGTCATGCAGGTGCCCCACTGTGGGTGCTTTTAAAAATAGAGTAGCCTGATAATGAGAGACTATGGACTCTGAGAAACAAACTGAGAGTTCTAGAGGGGAGGGGGTGGGGGGATGGGTTAGCCTGGTGATGGGTATTAAAGAGGGCATGTACTGAATTGAATGGAGCACTGGGTGTTATACCCAAACAATGAATCATGAAACACTACATCAAAAACTAATGATGTAATGTATGCTGATTAACATAACATAATAAAAAAAAAATAGAGTAGCCTGATGTAGAGCAATGAGATTGGGAGTCAGAAGATCTAGATTTGAGTCCCAGCCCCAACATTGCCTCAGAGATGTTGATCAAGTTACCTAACTTCCTTTAGCATCAGTTTTTTCATCTCTAAAGGGAAATATGTGACACACTCTGCCTACCTCCTTTGTTGTTAATAAGTATCAAATGAGATAAGGCAAGTGAAAGTATTTTTAAAACCTGTAGTATAAGATACAAATGGATAAATACCTGTAGTATTGGATACGAATGGATAAATGCATCACTGTCCTCATCTGCTAAAGACAGGGATGGTACGTACCTCATTGGATTATTTTGAGAAGTAAATTGAATAAAACATGTAAAGCCTTCTAGAACTATTTGTGGCAAATGGTAAGAACTCAATAAATCTAGAGATTATAAGGCTAAATAACTTATGGGATAAAAAGACTCATCTTAAAGCAAAGAAAAGTTTTTGCTTGTAACATTTTCACTAGTCAACATTTGCTTATATCTTCAATGTTAGAAATATCATCTTTGAGGGGTGCCTGGGTGGTGCAGTAGGTTAAGCATTCGACTCTTGGTTTCGGCTGAGGTTGTGATCTTAGGGTCTTGAGATCAAGCTCCTCCTTTGGCTCCGGGCTCAGCGTGGAGCCTGCTTAGAGTTTCTCTCTCCCTCTCCTGCTCGGCCCCCCGCACCGTGCCCCCCTCACCATGCTCCCTCTCTCTCAAATAAATAAATCTTAAAAAAAATTGCCATCTTTAGTGAGGTTGATCATTCACAAAATAGAAGTCCCTTTCAATCTGTGCTGCTTAGATTGAGAGGGCAAACTGGTCATGTGGTTCTGCCCAGAGGGGACCAGTTTGGAATGACAATCAATTATATTAGAGATTCTCAAAGTGTGGTCCGAGGTCTGGTTCTCCTCTATTATTCATGCTGTAATATGACAGCATCCATACTTTAGTTTCTGGCATAAATTAATAATTTGATATTGAATTAATAATCATCCTATTGAATACAAGCCAGACATCACCTCACTGGTGTCTAATTGAAAGCAGTGAATTTCCTTCCAGGTACTTTGGGAAGGTTTTCTGAGGATGAAGTGGATGGACTTGGGACTGTGAGTGGTGAATACCTTGATGAAATTATCTCTAAATCAAAGAGTCTTTGCAATCTTTGGGTTAGGACTTCTCTGACTATTTTTGTCCATGGAGTGGACAACCAAAAGGAAATGCTGTGGGTTCACATTAAAGAAAGCTATTTAAATTCAGTATGGAGTTTTTCCTTTATATATTCATGGATATATTTTTTTGGGAAATGGAACAGAAAATTCCTAATGGGGAAAAATCAGTTTTTCTGGAAAGGTGAAAGATCCTGGAAGGTGTATAATTTTTCACAAACTGAAGATAATTTTTCCAGAAAAATTCATCATGTCTGAGAGTATCCAACTCTCCAGCCTTTGTCTCCGCAAGGGTCATGCTTTTAGTCTGTTAAGGAAAAAATATTCAATGACACTTGTTAGAATGGTAAGGCAGACTTTATTCAGGACCACTGCAATAGGTATAGGGACCACTGCAATGGGATTTTACAGTGGATTTTACATTGGGTTCAGCTCTGAATACAGCACAGGCCAGTGGGAATTTAAAGCCAAGGAGCAAGGTGGGGATCAGTGGATGGAAAATTACTAGAAAAAATATCAGGTATAATGGGGAGTTCTGGCTAAACCATCCTAACAGGATTCTTGCTGAAGATAGGCCAGGGGCATCAGACATCACCTGGGGGATGGTGGGGGATGAGGAACCTGATCAGATATCCAGGTGGAGGATTCTGGTTAAGCTGACTTTGCAGGGTTCTTGCTAAAACTAGATTTTACAAGGAAGTGCACAGATGGGTCTAGGAGAATGTTCAGCTAGACTGACTAAAGTTTGCTCAAGCAAAAATCTTTGTCAAGTCTCACAGACTGAAACCCAGAGAGGAAGCTCTTAGAAAAGACTTGAGTCTGGTCAGATGTAGTCTGCAGTAGCCATGGGTCAGTCACTGGCCTATGTGGAGTGAGTTGCACAGCTCTTAGCTCTCTGGGTTTTGAGATGTGGCAGTTACTGCTCACTGTTACTTTGTCACCGTATACGTAGCTAAACTATGTTTCCTAGCCTCCTCTGCAGTTAGGTGGGCATGACAGTTGTGGCCACTAGCTTGTGGATTGCAGTGTTGTATGCCACTTCCAGGCCTGACTCTAAGACCTGCCTTGACACCATGTTTCTTTTTCCCAGTACCCCTGGCTTAGAGGTAAAGTCCTCTAACTTTGTCAGGTATGGATTGATTTTCACTGGGTATCCCAGTTGATTTCCATTAGCACTCTGATTTTTTTGAGGGCTTTGGC